AGAGAGAGATAGAGAGAAAGAGAGAGAGATATATATAGAGAGAGAAAGAGAGAGAGAGAGAAAGAGAGAGAGAGAAAGAGAGAGAGAGAAGGTTGGAGGTGTTACAACAAGTGAGGACGAGAGAATAAGATCGATTTTTGTTTTATAGGAAAGAAGTAGCAAACGAGGCCATAACACCCGCCAACCACCCAGCTTCTCAGTACTCCAATTTCCTTAGTTTGGTGCTCCATTAACGGCCAGTCCACTCTTTGATTCTTCCTTCGTTTCATCTCTCTGCCTCCTAGTCTACCTCTTTGACTTGTTCTATGTAAGATGGTTCACACCATACAGGTTAACAAATGAACCCAACCTCTGTGCAGTAAGCCCCTCCCACACACACACAGGGCAGTGCTGCTGACTGAAGTTGTCTTTAGACCATTTCCTAAGGGGAGATATTATGCACAGTAGAATTGTATATGAGCTGATTCATCAATGTCAAGCTCATACTATGCTTTTTCTTTCCTCATCCTTACTATCATCATTTATCCTCTACTTCTTTTGTATGTTTGTCACTCTTTTGTGAACTGCTATTTCCGGAGTGCCTTGATAGTCGAAGCAGACTTTGTGCTGTTGAGGCTAGAGGGGATAAGCATGAGTAAGCCCGATTCCCCGTTTGGACTTCTCTGTTGACATCCACCCCTTGGCGCTCATATGACCTTATTATGCAGTTGCGAGAGCTGTTAAACCTTACTAAAACTTAACTAAAAAAGAGCAGTAAGGGCGCTCTGTTAGTTATGACTATACGACAAAGGAATGGATGGCCGTAGTTCGCATCCCAGTCTGGGTGCTCTTGATGTCGGGTGGTATTGTGGAGTTTTCAAGGTTCTTTACGCGGCCACTCGGCTTTGGCCTATCAGAGATGGGCGCTACATTTGGAGGTCCTGCTTCTTTAGTGTGGCAATGTGGTGAAAGCAGGCGCTTGTCAAAATACTAAATTTCGGTGACATCGAAGAAACGACAAGTTCCCAAACGTTTTGCAAATTCTATTTTCCTTCACCTTCATATATCCCGTAGTCTGGGTGTCCGTTGGGGCACTTTTGAAGATTTGGCCACCAGCTTCCTACACTCCTTCCGGTTTTCAGCTTTTCTGAACGTGTCTTTGAGTCCCAGGCCTGTCCATTCCTTTTTGTTGTCCTCCCAAACTCTTCTTCGGTCTGCCTCTGCTCCTTTTCACATGGACGCTGCCTTGCAGGATCATCTTGGCAAGGTGATGTGTCCATACCAATGTATTCTATCAATTATTCCATCATGCTTTTGTGTCCATTTGTTCGCTATACCTAAAAATGCTGTTTTGAGAAAATCCAAGGCAAAGTTTTTGCTCTTTGTTCAGTTTTTTTTTAAAATGACAAGGAGAGTTTTCTGTATACCCAAAGAGATATACACACCAGTGAAACCAAACTTCTCCTTTTGGTAGGGCAATGCCCACTTTTGGTGTAGGTCCAGATTTCTGGAAACCCCGGAAATGAAGGTTAGTCCGCTTGTCCGTAAAAACGACCATTTAAAGTACATATTTTTGGGGAGTAGATTTTGCTGAAAAAAAGCCACAAAACACTATTGATCAATGGTACAAAATTGTACATTTGTAATTTCCAGGGAAACTGAAGCCTTTATGAAGTCACCAAATTGATTTCAGCGGCCATTTTCACCGCTATTTTTACCTGTGACACCAGGAGACCCCATGTCTTTCAATCGTAAACATCTCGATTTCCATTAAATGTCTGATTCCACTTTATCGTGACATACACATTGAATAAACTCCTGTAGCTGCTTTCCTTTTTGGGACACTAGACATGTGTGGGCGGAATTTTTTTTTTTTTTTTTAAT